TGAGTGGGTGGGTGGGTGGGTGAGTCAGTGGGTGGGTGGCTGAGTGAGTGAGTGGGTGGGTGAGTGAGTGAGAGGGTGGGTGGGTGGGTGAGTGAGTGGGTGAGTGAGTGAGTGGGTGGGTGAGTGAGTGCGTGCGTGGGTGAGTGGGTGGGTGGGTGAGTGGGTGAGTGAGAGGGTGGGTGGGTGAGTGAGTGAGTGGGTGGGTGAGTGAGTGAGAGGGTGGGTGGGTGAGTGAGTGGGTGAGTGAGTGAGTGGGTGAGTGAGTGCGTGCGTGGGTGAGTGAGTGGGTGAGTGAGTGAGAGGGTGGGTGGGTTAGTGAGAGGGTGGGTGAGTGAGTGGGTGCGTGAGTGAGTAGGTGAGTGAGTGCGTGCGTGGGTGAGTGAGTGGGTGAGTGAGTGAGAGGGTGGGTGGGTTAGTGAGAGGGTGGGTGGGTGAGTGAGTGAGAGGGTGAGTGAGTGGGTGAGTGATTGGGTGAGTGAGTGGGTGAGTGAGAAGGTGGGTGAGTGGGTGTGTGAGAGGGTGAGTGAGTGGGTGAGTGCGTGGGTGAGTGAGTGGGTGAGTGATTGCGTGAGTGAGAGGGTGGGTGAGTGTGTGAGTGAGAGGGTGAGTGAGTGGATGAGTGAGTGAGTGAGTGGGTGAGTGAGTGAGTGAGAGGGTGGGTGAGTGAGTGAGAGGGTGGGTGGGTGAGTGAGTGAGAGGGTGAGTGAGTGGGTGAGTGAGTGAGTGGGTGAGTAAGTGCGTGAGTGAGAGGGTGGGTGAGTGGGTGAGTGACAGGGTGAGTGAGTGGGTGAGTGAGTGCGTGGGTGAGTGAGTGAGTGGGTGAATGTGTGAGTGAGTGGGTCAGTGAGTGAGTGGGTGAGTGAGTGAGTGGGTCAGTGAGTGAGTGGGTGAGTGAGTGAGTGAGTGGGTGAGTGAGTGAGTGAGTGGGTGAGTGAGTGGGTGAGTGAGTGAGTGGGTGGGTGAGTGGGTGAGAGGGTGGGTGAGTGAGTGAGTGAGTGGGTGAGTGAGTGGGTCGGTGAGTGAGTGGTTGGGTGGGTGAGTGAGTGAGTGGGTAAGTGAGTGAGTGGGTGAGTGAGTGGGTGGGTGAGTGAGTGTGTGTTTCGTTGAGTGAGTGGGTGGGTGAGTGAGTGAGTGGGTGAGTGAGTGAGTGAGTGGGTGAGTGAGTGAGTGGTTGGGTGGGTGAGTGAGTGGGTAAGTGAGTGAGTGGGTGAGTGAGTGGGTGGGTGGGTGAGTGAGTGTGTGTTTCGTTGAGTGAGTGGGGGGGTGGGTGGGTGAGTGAGTGAGTGGGTGGGTGAGTGAGTGGGTAGGTGGGTGAGTGAGTGGGTGAATCAACGAGTGAGTCGGTGAGTGAGTGAGTGGGTGGGTGAGTGAGTGAGTGGGTGAGTGAGTGAGAGGGTGGGTGGGTGAGTGAGTGGGTGGGTGGGTGAGTCAGTGGGTGTGTGGGTGAGTGAGTGGGTGGGTGAGTGAGTGAGAAGGTGGGTGGGTGAGTGAGTGAGTGGGTGAGTGAGTGAGTGGGTGGGTGAGTGAGTGGGTGGGTGAGTGGGTGAGTGAGAGGGTGGGTGGGTGAGTGAGTGAATCAACGAGTGAGTGGGTGAGTGAGTGTGTGATTGAGTGAATTAACGAGTGGGTGGGTGAATAAATGCGTGAGTGGGTGAGTGAGTGGGTGAGTGAGTGCGTGGGTGGGTGAGTGAGTGGGTGGGTGAGTGGGTGAGTGAGTGAGTGTGTGATTGAGTGAATTAACGAGTGTGTGGGTTAATAAATGCGTGAGTGGGTGGGTGAGTGAGTGAATTAACGAGTGTGTGGGTGAATAAATACGTGAGTGGGTGGGTGAATGAGTGAATTAACGAGTGTGTGGGTGAGTGAGTGAATGCGTGGGTGAGTGAGTGAGTGAATGCGTGAGTGAGATTGGCCAATGATGAGTCATTTATCCGATATATTTGTGTGTACACGAGGAGGATCGAAGTCACATTTTCACGGGTGAGTGACCTGGGGTCACCAACATAAAAACAAAGTCGGAGCAGATATCGGAGCACGAGCATCAATTATCGTTCAAGAATACATTCCCCTTAACATGTGCGTGCGTGTTTACACGTGTGTGTGTGTACACACGTGGAGACAAAGGCGGCCGGGCGTGGTTGCTGTGTGCCACGTCACCCCATCGTGCGCCGTGCCGGCCTTCATCAGCGTCGAGGAGACAGAAAGGGCTCAGCGTGCCCCAACAGCAGCAGCAGCAGCATGGTGGTGGTGGTGGTGGAGGAGGAGTTGATACAGGAGGGGATTGGTGGTAGGGGTACATTTGTCTTGGGAGTGCACGCGTGTACACCTGATCTGCAGGTACACGCGTGCGACACACACGTGTACACACACACACACACGTGTACGTGGACACACACGTGTACACACACGCACACACACACGTGTACACACACACACATGCACGCACACACACACGTGCACGCACACACACGTGCACGCGCACACACGTGTACACACACACGTGTACGCACACACACTTGTACACACACACGTGTACACACGCACACACGTGTACACACACACACGTGTACATACACACACACGTGTACATACACACACACGTGTACGCACACACACGTGTACATACACACACGTGTACACACACACACGTGTACACACACACGTGTATACACACACACGTGTGCGTGTACTAGAACCCCTGACGTGGGATGGTGGGGGGTGGACGCTGTGGGTGGGGGGTTAGGTGGGGGTTTGGATAAGGGGGTGAGCACCCCAATAGGAAACATTCCCAGTGAGATGACAGAAGAGAGATGGGAGATGTAGCGAGATGGGAGATAGAAGGGGGGGGGGGGGGTGATGTAGCGAGATGGGAGATAGAAGGGGGGGGGGGGGGGGGTGCAGATGAGAGAGACACGCGGACAAGACACGTGTACATAGAAATGAGACGCATTAATTGGCTGTACATGTTAATGATCTCTTAATGGGGTTTTAGTATCTGAATTGGATCTGATCTCCACTTCAACCCCTGTGTTGTTTCACAAAGACAAAGATCCCCCGTATAACCCGAACAAACTGTCGGGGCTGTTAGCGAGCACCTATGAAGGCCGGCACGGCACACGAGGGGGTGGGTGGCCAGCACCACGCCCGACCGCCTTTGTCTCTCCAGTGGCGATGTTTACTGCACACCGCACCAGGTACTCATTTGCGGTTTCACACGCGTACACAACTGCGCTCCTTGTGGGGGGGGGGGGGGGGGCACCACGCTCTTGCTGAATGATTTTACCCCGAGGGACCCCCAACTGGAGGTAAGGGATGCAGGGGGGTAGGATCTGGGGTTACGTGGAGGAGTTCGGGGTGTGAGGGGTTGCTTTGTAATCTGGGTCAGGATTTAACAACAGCAATAGCAGCAGTAGCAACATCAGTAGCATTAGCAGCAGCAGTGATAGCAACATCAGTAGCAGCAGCAGTAACAACATCAGTAGCATTAGCAACAGCAGTGATAGCAACATCAGCAGCAATAGCAGCAGTAGCAACATCAGTAGCATTAGCAGTAGCAGTGATAGCAACATCAGTAGCAATAGCAGCAGTAGCAGCAGCAGTAGCATTAGCAGCAATAGTCACTGGAACATCAGTAGCAGGAGCAGTAACAACATCAGTAGCATTAGCAGCAGCAGTGATAGCAACATCAGTAGCAGCAGCAGTAGCAACATCAGTAGCATTAGCAGCAGCAGTGATAGCAACGTCAGCAGCAATAGCAGCAGTAGCAGCAGCAGTAGCATTAGCAGCAGCAGTGATAGCAACATCAGCAGCAATAGCAGCAGTAGCAGCAGCAGTAGCATTAGCAGCAGTAGTCACTGGAACATCAGTAGCAGGAGCAGTAACAACATCAGTAGCATTAGCAGAAGCAGCAATAGCAGAAGCAGTATCAGCAGCATGAGTAAGAGCAGCAGCAGCACTAGTAGTAGTATTATTATTAGCAGCAGCAGCACTAGTAGTAGTATTATTATTAGCAGCAGCAGCACTAGTAGTAGTATTATTATTAGCAGCAGCAGCACTAGTAGTAGTATTATTATTAGCAGCAGCAGCACTAGTAGTAGTATTATTATTAGCAGCAGCAGCACTAGTAGTAGTAGTATTATTATTAGCAGCAGCAGCACTAGTAGTAGTATTATTATTAGCAGCAGCAGCAGCAATAGCTGCAGCTTATCAGCAGTTAGCAGCAGCGACAATAAATATTTGCATCAGTAACAATCGCAGCAATAGCAGTCTTCATCGTTAACATCATCATCAGCAGCAGCATCCATCATCATCAGCCACATCGTTGATAATTAGCGACATCAACGACAATTATCATCAGCAACAGCAGGAACCATCATCAGCAGCATCAACCAGCATCATCAGCAGAATCGTCATCAGCAACATTAATAATAATGAGCAACAGCAGACATATTGTTATCAGCATCATCTATACGATCAACAGGAGGGCTTGTCAACCACTAGCATCGTGATCATGAAGCATCGATCATTACCAACAGCAGGATCAGCCGTCACGATCATCTTCATCATCATCATCAGCAGTAACATAAAGCATCATCACATTTGTTTTCATCAACGGCAACTTGATCATCAACCATCATCACCATCATCTTCATAAGCAACAGCATTGATCATCAACAGTAGCATCAATCATCACTACCTTCATCAGCAGCAGCAGCATCGTCATCAGCAGCAGCATTGAAATCAACCATCATCACAATTGTTTATAATTAACGGCATCTCCATCATCAACCATCATCAGCATCGAACATCTTCATCATCAGCAGCAGCAGCATCACCCCCCCCTTCCCCCCCTTCCCCCGCCCCTACCCCCCGCTCGTCTCGGCAGAGGCGCGAGGCGGCTCCTCCACTAGCGGCTCCTCCACTCGCGCGCGATCCCCGCGATCCCCTCTCTCTCTCTCCCCTCTCTCTCCCCTCTCTTCTCTCTCTCTCTCCCCTTCTCCCCTCTCTCTCTCTCGCTCCGGACCCCCGATACACAGGCACCCCCCCACCACCCCCCCCCATCATCATTCCCACTCCATCAGCTGGGGGACCCCTCTCACCTCTTGACCGACCCACCAACCCCCTCTTCGACAAACCCAGGGGGGACCGATCCCCTCGTTTATTCCTTTTCTGCAGCTCGTTCCAAATCCGCCTACCCCCCTCCTCCTCCCACCACCACCACCTTTCTCTCCACATACCCCTTTCTTAGGTCGTCCGCGGACCCCCACATTTTCTCGCTTTGTTCAAGGAAGCAGGGACCCCCCCCCCTCCTCCTCCTCCTCCTCTCCTCCCCTTGCCACCCCCTTTGCTCGGGGCTCGGGATCTGCGCGCGCTGCTTCGGGGACCCCCTTTGGTGGAGGTCGCCAGGAACCCCGTGGGCTGCGCGGCGCTCTGCGTCGATTCCCCGCTCGCCACAGCCGAACGTCGCGAGGTGAGCGGGATCGAGGGGGTCCACGGGAGAAGTTCACGGCGTTGGCAGAGGGGCTCGGCTTCGAGGCATGGGGGGGGGGGGGGGGTCGAGAGGGGGCGCTTGGAAAGGGGGGGGGGGTAGAGTTGACACCGTGGGGGTTTGCACACCTGAAGGGGATACAGAGGGGGTTGTGGAGTTAAGGGGAACGGAGAGACGGGGGGGGTGGTGGTGCCTTGTGGCTCGCCGTACACCTGTGTGAATGGTGCGGTGAGTGTGTCCCTGTCGTCTGACGGTGTCTGTATATCCGTGGGTGTCCGTGTCGTCTCCGTGTGTGTCTTCGTGGGTGTCTGTGTGTCTCCCTGTGTGTCTGTGTGTCTTCGTGGGTGTCTGTGTGTCTCCGTGTAGCAGTGTGTCTTCGTGGGTGTCTGTGTGTCTCCGTGTAGCAGTGTGTCTCCCTGTGTGTCTGTGTGTCTCCGTGTGTGTCTGTGTATCTCCCTGTGTGTCTGTGTGTCTGTGTATCTCCCTGTGTGTCTGTGTGTCTGTGTATCTCCCTGTGTGTCTGTGTGTCTCCGTGTAGCAGTGTGTCTCCCTGTGTGTCTGTGTGTCTCCCTGTGTGTCTGTGTGTCTCCGTGTAGCAGTGTGTCTCCCTGTGTGTCTGTGTCTGTGTATCTCCCTGTGTGTCTGTGTGTTTCCGTGTAGCAGTGTGTCTGTGTGTCTCCATGTGTGTCTGTGTGTCTCCGTGTAGCAGTGTGTCTCCCTGTGTCTGTGTGTCTGTGTATCTCCCTGTGTGTCTCCGTGTGTGTCTGTGTGTCTCCGTGTAGCAGTGTGTCTGTGTGTGTGTCTGTGTATCTCCGTGTAGCAGTGTGTCTCCCTGTGTGTCTGTGTGTCTCCGTGTAGTAGTGTGTCTGTGTGTGTGTCTGTGTGTCTCCGTGTGTGTCTGTGTGTCTCCGTGTAGCAGTGTGTCTCCCTGTGTGTCTGTGTGTCTCCGTGTGTCTGTGTATCTCCCTGTGTGTCTGTGTGTCTCCGTGTAGCAGTGTGTCTCCCTGTGTGTTTGTGTGTCTCCGTGTGTCTGTGTGTCTCCCTGTGTGTCGTGTATCTCCCTGTGTGTCTGTGTGTTTCCGTGTAGCAGTGTGTCTCCCTGTGTGTCTCCGTGTGTCTGTGTATCTCCCTGTGTGTCTGTGTGTCTCCGTGTAGCAGTGTGTCTCCCTGTGTGTTTGTGTGTCTGTGTATCTCCCTGTGTGTCTGTGTGTCTCCGTGTAGCAGTGTGTCTCCCTGTGTGTCTGTGTGTCTGTGTATCTCCCTGTGTGTCTGTGTGTCTCCGTGTAGCAGTGTGTCTCCCTGTGTGTCTGTGTGTCTCCGTGTGTCTGTGTATCTCCCTGTGTGTATGTGTCTCCGTGTAGCAGTGTGTCTCCCTGTGTGTCTGTGTGTCACCCTGTGTGTCTCCGTGTAGCAGTGTGTCTCCCTGTGTGTCTGTGCGTCTCCATGTAGCAGTGTGTCTCCCTGTGTGTCTCCCTGTGTGTCTGTGTGTCTCCGTGTAGCAGTGTGTTTCCCTGTGTATATGTGTCACCATGTGTGTATGTGTGTCTCCCTGTGTGTCTGTGTATCTCCCGTGTGTGTCTGTGTCTCCGTGTGTGTCTCCCGTGTGTGTCTCCGTGTGTGTCTCCCGTGTGTGTCTGTGTGTCTCTGTGTGTGTCTCCCTGTGTGTCTGTGTGTCTCCTTGTGTCTGTGTATCCCCGTGTAGCAGTGGGTCCCCGTGTGTCCGTGCCTCCGTCTATCTGTCTGTCCGTATATTTGTGTGTCCGTGTGTCCTGTATCTGTCTCTCTGTCTCCACGAGGCTCCGTATTCTTCTCCATGTCTCCGTATTTGTCTTCATGAGTGCCTCTGTGTTTCCGTATCTGCGTGCCTGTCTCTGTGTGTCTCCGTGTCTTCATGCGTGTCTCCGTGTCTTCATGCGTGTCTCCGTGTGTCTCTGTGTCTTCATGCGTGTCTCCGTGTGTCTCTGTGTCTTCATGCGTGTATCTGTGTGTCTCCGTGTCTTCATGCGTGTATCTGTGTGTCTCCGTGTCTTCATGAGGCTCTATCTGCGTTCGTGTGAACGTTTCCCTGTTTCTGCGTATCCCTGTCAGAGTGTCTCCGTATCTTAGCCCATTGTCTCCACACAAGTGTGCCTCTGTGCGTTTCGTCATGTCTTCGTGTGTGTGTGTGTCTCTCTCAGTTTCTCCCCGCGTGTCTCTGTCTCCCTGTGTGTCTCTAAGCGTCTCTCAGTGTCTCTGTGTCTCCGTGTCTCTCTGTGTCTCCATGTCTCTCTCTGTCTCCGTGTGTCTCTCCCTATCTCCCTGTGTGTATCTGCTTCTGCCCGTGGGTCTCTCAGTGTCTCCCTGTGTGTATCTGCCTGTGTGTCTCTCAGTGTCTCCCTGTGTGTATCTGCCTGTGTGTCTCTCAGTGTCTCCGTGTGTCTCTCTGTGTCTCCGTGCCTCTCTCTGTCTCCGTGTGTCTCTCCCTGTCTCCCTGCGTGTCTCTGCCTGTGGGTCTCTCAGTGTCTCCGTCTCTCTTTGTCTCCGTGTATCTCTCTGTGTCTCCGTGTGTAACTCCGTCTCGCTGTGTGTCTCTGCCTCCTTGTGTGTCTCTCAGTATCTCCCAGTGTCTCCGTCTCTATCTGTCTCCGTGTGTCTCTCTGTGTCTCCCTGTGTGTCTCTGTGTCTCCTTGTGTGTATCTGTCTCTCCGTGTGTCTCTCCCTGTCTCCCTGTGTGTCTGTCCCTGTCTCCCTGTGTGTACCTGTGTCTCCATGTGTCTCTCCGTCTCCCTGTGTGTTTCTGTCTCCGATTGTGTCTCTCAGTGTCTCTGTCTCTCTCTCTCTGTCTCCGTGTGTCTCTCTGTGTCTCCCTTGTGTCTCTGTCTCCCTGTGTGTCTCTGTCTCCCTGTGTGTCTCTCTCTGTCTCCCTGTGTGTCTCTGTCTCCCTGTGTGTCTCTGTCTCCCTGTGTGTCTCTGTCTCCCTGTGTGTCTCTCTCTGTCTCCCTGTGTGTCTCTCATGTTTCCGTGATCATCTCGGTGGGATCGTGAGTGTCTCCCCGTATGATCTCGATGTCTCCGTCTCTCTGTGTGTCTCCGTGTTGTTATTCCATCCGTGTCTCCGTCACTGTCTCCGTGTGTCTGTCGTTCAGTGGGGAGCGGTGGCGCAGCGGTTAGCGCTACGCTGCGCTACGAACCCGGCGACCCGAGTTCGATTCCCGCTCACGGCCACCTACAACCGGTGACGATTCTCTGAACCGGTTACTGGGTCTCGCCTAGATCCGCTCTGCCTTAAATGAGTAACCCGGTGCGGTGTATAAACATCGTCACTGGGGAGACAAAGGCGGTCGGGCGTGGTGCTGGTCACCCACCCCCTCGTGTGCCACAGTGCCGGTCGCCTTCACAGGTGCTGCTGCTGCTGCTGCTACTCGCTAACAGCCCTGGCCCCTACAGCCTGTGAAGGCTACACGGTGGGGGAGCTTTGTTGATCAGTCGCGTCTTCTCTGGGTTCCTCCTGGGTGTCTCGCGTTCATTCTCTTGCTGGGTTACGTCTCCGTGTCTCCGTGAGTGTCTCCGTGTCTCCGTGATTGTCTCCGTGTCTCCGTGAGTGTCTCCGTGTCTCCGTGAGTGTCTCCGTGATTGTCTCCGTGTCTCCGTGAGTGTCTCCGTGATTGTCTCCGTGTCTCCGTGAGTGTCTCCGTTATTGTCTCCATGATTGTCTCCGCGAGTGTCTCCGTGAGTGTCTCCGTGTCTCCGTGAGTGTCTCCGTGTCTCCGTGAGTGTCTCCGTGATTGTCTCCGTGTCTCCGTGAGTGTCTCCGTGATTGTCTCCATGATTGTCTCCGCGAGTGTCTCCGTGTCTCCGTGAGTGTCTCCGTGACTCCGCTGTCTCCTGTCTCTGTGCGCGTTGCGTCTCCTTGTCTCTCTGCGTCTCTCCATGTGTGTGCGTGTCTCTGTCTATGTGTGTGTGTCTCTGTCTATGTGTGTGTCTGTCTTTGTGTGTCTCTGTCTATGTGTGTGTCTGTCTTTGTGTGTCTCTGTCTATGTGTGTGTCTGTCTTTGTGTGTCTCTGTCTATGTGTGTGTCTGTCTTTGTGTGTCTCTGTCTTTGTGTGTGTGTCTGTCTTTGTGTGTCTCTGTCTTTGTGTGTGTGTCTCCCCATGTGTGTGCGTGTCTCTGTCTATGTGTGTGTGTCTCTGTCTATGTGTGTGTCTGTCTTTGTGTCTCTCTGTCTATGTGTGTGTCTGTCTTTGTGTGTCTCTGTCTTTGTGTGTGTCTGTCTTTGTGTGTGTGTCTCTCCATGTGTGTGCGTGTCTCTGTCGATGTGTGTGTCTCTGTCTATGTGTGTGTGTGTGTCTTTGTGTGTGTCTGTCTATGTGTGTGTGTCTGTCTATGTGTGTGTGTCTGTCTTTGTGTGTCTCTGTCTATGTGTGTGTATGTGTGTGTCTCTGTCAATGTGTATGTGTGTATGTGTGTATGCGTGTGTCTCTGTCAATGTGTGTGTCTCTGTCAATGTGTGTGTGTATGTGTGTCTCTGTCGATGTGTGTGTGTATGTGTGTGTCTCTGTCAATGTGTGTGTCTGTCAATGTGTGTGTGTGTATGTGTGTCTCTGTCAATGTGTGTGTATGTCTGTCGATGTGTGTGTATGTGTGTGTCTCTGTCTATGTATGTGTCTCTGTCAATGTGTGTGTGTGTGTCTGTCTATGTGTGTGTCTCTGTCTATGTGTGTGTCTCTGTCAATGTGTGTGTGTGTGTATGTATGTGTGTGTCTCTGTCAATGTGTGTGTATCAATGTGTGTGTATGTGTGTGTCTCTGTCAATGTGTGTGTGTCAATGTGTATATGTGGAGCGGTGGTGTAGCGGTTAGCGCGCTGCGCTACTAATCCGGAGAACAGAGTTCGATTCCCGCTCACGGCCACAAACACCAGTGGCAATTATCTGATCCGGTCCTGGGCCCCCCCTAGGTCGACTCAGCCTCAAACGAGTAGACGGTGCGGTGTGTATACGACG